CAACTGGACGGTAGTCATTGAAGCAGGATGGAGACGGCTTCTTCGGGACTGGAATGATGTGGTAGCTTTGAAGCATGTGGGGACAACATGTCTCTGCTGTCGCTGAAACGATGTGCTATCCTCCTGGAGTACTGACTCTTAGCCTCTCTGATGCCGCGGGATGGGAGAACACCGTTCTGACGGGAGAGAAGCCGCAGCGTGTGCACGCGCCGCCATCTTGAGGAGATAACATTAAACATTAAAGGCCTCCTGTAGTGAATCCATGCGTTTTCTAAGAAAATTATCCATATTTCAAACGTAATAAACACTTTTTTCTCACTTCCGGTATCTGTCATACGCGGAAAGCATTCCGGCGGATGACGCAGGACGTATGCGCAGCGTGCGCGCCTCTGAGATGCATTTTTGTGGTGTCGGTATCATTGATTGGATGAAAGCAACACATGACCTGTTTACAGGCTCTAGCTTTGTGCATTCTCAATAGGCTATATTGCTGACTGTACTATCAAGCAGGGCTTGAAAACGAAAAAAAATTTCAATCGGTTCACTCCGAGCAGAATCGATATTTTAACGTTTCTGTTCCTGCGTTCCTCTGTATTATTACCGTTCCGAAACCGGTTCGGGTAGAAGAAATATCGGTTAATAACGTTATATATATATTTTTTCTTTGCCTATAATAATAATAATAATAATAATAATAAAGTACAGCGTTTTCTTTACTCAAAAAGAAAAAGAAAAAAAACCAGGAAGAGATCTGGTAACTTTATAGCATGACTTGTGGACTGTTCAACTGCAACACCCGCTGACTGCAATGATAGAACTTGGAATAGCCAGGACAATTTTTAATATAACTCCGACTGGATTCGTCTGAAAGAAGAAAGTCATATACACCTAGGATGCTTCGAGGGTGAGTAAAACACAGGCTAATTTTCATTTTTGGGTGAACTAACCCTTTAACTTTCTTATATACATTTTTGTGGTGTCGGTATCATTGATTGGATGAAAGCAACACATGACCTGTTTACAGGCTCTAGCTTTGTGCATTCTCAATAGGCTATATTGCTGACTGTACTATCAAGCAGGGCTTGAAAACGAAAAAAAATTTCAATCGGTTCACTCCGAGCAGAATCGATATTTTAACGTTTCTGTTCCTGCGTTCCTCTGTATTATTACCGTTCCGAAACCGGTTCGGGTAGAAGAAATATCGGTTAATAACGTTATATATATTTTTTTTCTTTGCCTATAATAATAATAATAATAATAATAATAATAAAGTACAGCGTTTTCTTTACTCAAAAAGAAAAAGAAAAAAAACCAGGAAGAGATCTGGTAACTTTATAGCCTATAACCCGCTGTGTTTAGTCACAGCCAATACAGCATCATCTTTTCTAGATTTTGTCCAAATGTAGGCTACTAAACAAAAGGAAAAAATCTATCAACACTTTAAAGACATTAATGTATTTTTAAGATATTTAAAAATGTTTGCTGCATTGTTTAAAAAACGCTACTTGTATAAGATTGCGTTTTGAGAGTGAAAAAAACATAAGTCGCGGCTAAAATGCATGTAGGCTAAAGCAAAATGTTTACAAACATTATAAACACAGTTATTAGTTTCTCTCCACAACAAATCCTCTAAAGTTAAGGCTATAAAAACGTCAATCCAAAAACAAATTAATTTAAGGTGAAACTGATGCCTACCTCTCTCATTCGGCACAAATCCAAATGTTTCCATATTCGCAACGTATCTGGATGCTTTAATATGATTTATTATAGGCTAGGCTTTTTTTTATCGACATAAAACATAATCCTTTACATCGGCTATATCAACACAGTGAGGCGCTGGTCGCGCTGAACGCAACAAATTTTGTAAAACGGAGCAGTGTAACTTTTTATTTGTTTATTTAACTGTATTTTATTTTGATAATGAACAGGCTGCAATGTTGCAAAAATATTTTGTGTGTGCGCGTGGTATGGTCATACCAACGCTGGTTGGTTATACAGATAGAAGCTAGACATTATTCAAAACTGTAAAGCTTTTGCAAAATAAAGAAAACTACTTTCTGCTGTCTCGTTTTCCTTTCCGAGAACTTTGGAATGCGTCACAATGAACCGTGTAACTAAGCACTTTTTTTTCTCTCGTTTTGTTAATCTGTCAATGATTTAAAGTCCCCATGAAATCAAAATTAAAGTTTTTTGGGTGTTAGTATCAATATGTTAGTCTTAAGGTTATCTATAAGGCACTGTGCTCCAAAACAGTGACAAAATTCGCATTTAGAAGTTATAAGCATTCAAAGCTTGCAGTTCGTCACTTCCGCCAAAACGGCTTAAAGCAAAATGTTTACAAACATTATAAACACAGTTATTAGTTTCTACAAAAAATCCTCTAAAGTTAAGGCTATAAAAACGTCAATCCAAAAACAAATTAATTTAAGGTGAAACTGATGCCTACCTCTCTCATTCGGCACAAATCCAAATGTTTCCATATTCGCAACGTATCTGGATGCTTTAATATGATTTATTATAGGCTAGGCTTTTTTTTATCGACATAAAACATAATCCTTTACATCGGCTATATACGATTCAGACAGTGTAAATATGCTTTCCATTGAGGAAAAAAAGAAGTCTGATTTAGCGCTGTGTCACGCTAACCACCACACCGCACACACACTCTGCTCTGGTCCAGACCACAAAATGTATCGGAGCTTTTTTAATTCTACACAGAATGCTATATTTTATAGCAATATGGATGAGATTGTGGCTGGCATACCCTGTCAAATGCGGCTTTACGGAGCTCAACGGCTCTGAACGGCTCTAGCCCAAGCTGTGATATAAACGAACGCTATTGACTATTTTAAAAAGGGGCGGGGCTGCTTGATATGTCCCGCCCTGTCTTCCTGTTTCAGTTAAAATGACGTCAACACATATAGTAACACTGCGTGTTTCTAAGCATTTCAAGGGACCTTTAAGTGAAATATATTTTGTGTATATGCCTATATTCCTTTTTATGTAAGCCTATAGTGTTATTCTGTTTTCTCTGTTCACAGAAGCGCTGCAGGTGCGTGTGATCTGTTAAATCCTTCTTACACTATCCTCGGATAAACTCTAACGCCGGTGCATTGCCATTGCGACTTATCTATGATAAGTTCACAGCTGAGCGGGCATTTCACTCGTTGGATGCGTCAGCGTCACATTTGCATCGGCCATACTACTGGAATTCGTGATTGGTTGACAGCAAATTTCAAATATTAAATGGAACGATAAAATAATGTTATTAACCGGTTAATGCCCATTTCAAATGTTCGATTCTGTTCAGAACTATAAAATTTGATTTCGTTTCTGTTTCTGGTTCTGTTCCTGTCAAAATTTCGTTCGTTTCCGGTTTTCGTTTTCGTTCCTTGAACCGGTTCAGAGCCCTGCTATCAAGTTTTTCCTGAATGGACTTTTCGGACTATAAAAGGTCTGATTGACGTGTTTTATGTCACCATTTGATATTTTTGCCCCCAAACACTGAAACAACTTTTTATACAACAAGCGGTGTTTTTGTGACTGTCCAGTGCATGTGAATATGAGGTATGCAATTGGTTTGCTGTCGGTTGCTAAGCAACTAGTCAGAACATTTTAAAACATTGTAATTAATTTACACTGCACACATTTGGCACCGTAATGCAAAGGCAACACTGCAAAAGGACTGCTAACCCTGATCCGGAGCAAGTGTAAAATTACAAGTGTGAAACGTGTATTTACCATGGGTTAAAAGTGAGTTTAGAACAATGATAACCCTAGGTAAGCACAGTGTGAAAAGCCCTATAATGGTTCATTCAAAACTCTTCAGACTTTTTTGAATTTGTGTTTATTTCAAGCTAATTATTACATGCAGTTACGCTGTCTGTTGTACATTTTCTTACTCCAGAGGATGTTTAAATGTAATTGTCATCAATTACTGACAAAAACACTAAATATAAAAAAGGCTATCATCTCTTTTTCTCTCTCTGTAGCCCACTGTGTTTGATGTTGACTATTATTTATTCTTGCTCACAATGGTTGTTGAGTTCCTTCAGATAATTGAGGTGAGCCAAACATGATATATGATATACATTCAATTTAAGATTATTCCCCTAACATAAAACAAACATGCATTACAGCTGAGATACTATAAGGATGATGGAACTTAATTCTCCCACATTTCTTTCAGATCATCCTGAAGTTTCGCATTTGTTATTATGATGATAGTGGAACCTATATTTCAGAATACAGATCAACGTCCCGTAACTACATGAAGAGGAAAGTGGGATTTGTCTTTGATATGGTCTTTTCATTTCCATATGGCCTTATAATATTTCACCAGATGAAAAAAGATCCGGCAACATTCTTGCCTATGATTATTTATGTCCGGATAGCTCACTTGCCACGCATTATTTCACTATTTGTGTTTATGTGGAGAGAAGAACAATCATTAACAAATAAGTATGTCTTTTAGTGATATTTGTCCATTAATCTGATTTACATTTAATTACTTGTATTTTTCTAAAATATTGCATTATAGTACATTTTTCATTTGCAAAACAGTCACATTTGCCCCTTTTTTCTTGTTTTTTTTTTTTTTGTGTGTTTTCAGTCTTCTGTGGATTAGGATGATCAAGTACTTTGTACATTCCTTCCTCTTTGTCCACTGTGCAGCAGTTCTCTGCATTTCATTTGTTGAGAGTCATGGAATAATGTCATGGGTTGCTGAAACAGGTGAGGGGAAAATATATAAAAGCATAAGATGATTGAAAGGAGTCAGCTCATGAGGAATCACAGTTTAAAAACATACTGAACTCAAATGTGGAAAATGCTCATAAAATACATTACTTGGGATGTGCTGTATCTGCTGTTGTTTCACACTACTCAGGCCAGAGATTCAGATCATGGTGTGTCCATTATTGTCCCACTGTACAGGCTGGAGACAAAGAACAAGGAGTGTCTGTTGAAAGGGTACATTTATCAATTTCCAATGAGGAGGAGATTGCAATTTGGTGCTTTTTCATTCCAGTGCTACGACTGACTGTTGGCATCAGAGGTGGCAAACAGTGTGGCCCACCCCTCTTTCCCCGTGGAACTTATTTGAATAATCTAAAGGCCCTTTCACACTGATTGCAAAAATTTGGCGCAAAGGTTTTAGTTTCGTGCTCGTTTCGCACTCTGTGTGAAAGTACCTTTTGTCATTGATTCGCATCAAGCTCAATGTGAAACGACCTTAAAGCACACAGTTAGAACAATGTCTTTAAATTTCTACCAATGAGAAGAATACTTACATCTGAGAGATGTAAGTGTCCTGAGCACCTTTTCATGGTGCCATCTTTATCGTCCTTGGGAAAGTGCTGTTTTACACCCTGACAAGATGTGTTCCATGGTGCCCCACTCTTCACAAAGCTTACATAGTGTGTCCACCCTCAATCCCCACTTATGCAAATTTGTTGGGGTTGGGAGTGTGTCAGAAAAAGACGCAGAAAAGTTTGAGCCTCCATAGGTCTGCCCATGTGATTTGTAGTTGAAGCTGTTCTGACCTTATGTACAAGCCTACTGAAGTGAAACATGGAGGAATTCCCAGCCACCTTCAGAGGTACCTGATCCTCCTCTCCACTCGCTCCACACTTGTCATAGGGATCTCATACACAGTCAACAGCCACATAAGTCTCGACAGCAGTCCGTGTTGGTGGATCCATACTTTGAATTTCCCTGTAGAATTCCTGATTTTTCAACCTCCTCAGCCATTCCTCTGTATGCTTTTCAGTGTGGGTGATATTATTTCCTGATTACCATACACCAGGATTTCTTTAGCTTAAAGGGATCATCGGATAGGGTCTTAATTAAAAGTCTAGTTGGCGCCGATAGCCTCGTGGTTAGTGCGTCGACATATAGCGCAAGTGGGCTCACAGCGACCCGAGTTCGATTCCCGTCTCGAGGTCCTTTGCTGATCCTGCTCCCCTTTCTCCACCCAATACTTTCCTGTCATCTCAAAATAAAAAGGCCCATAAACATATAATTTAAAAAAAACTTTGGTTAAGATTTATCAATGGTAGTGTAAAACAACACCCTTTATACCTTATCAAAAACAGCTCTGTTCACAGCAAGCCATTTCAGTGCATGTCCCTTTAAATGCTAATGAGCTCTGCTCACTCCACCCCTCTCTTCTGTGGGGTGACGAGCCATTCTCATGAGACTATAAACTTTAGCCGCATTTAGTCATGGAACTTGCTAACTAGCACATTATAAGGAAAGGTGATTTGCAAAGATTCATAAAAAGCGTATACTCACTGCTTCTGTAGGTGAATGATTCGTGCAAACATAGACGCATTTAGGTAGATTGGGGGCGCATTCCCTTCAAAAACAAAAGTAATCCACTGCGTCTTCAGCGGCTCAGATGTCGGGAGTAAATGATGACTGCTATGTTCATTATTACATCCTACAAAAAAACACCTCAATCGCTTAGGAGACATTCTTGTCTACTCCTGATCTGGCATTGAAACACAGCTCATTCAGGGTGGGTCTATGCTTAAACGGCCGTGTGACTCAACAATCGTGGGAGGGGCCTGTGCAAAACTACGTCATTCTGCCAAGAATCTCAGAAAAGCCTGATCTGAGAAAGTGATCATTATTATTGGGGATTTTTTTAAAAAAGCACTGGGTGGATTTTTATCATTATAGGGTGGATGTGTACACACACTGCCAACACATTTATGTTCAAACAACATGTAAAAGTGAATTTCGTATCCGATGACCCCTTTAATCCTCATTCTGGCCCACGTTGCCATATGGTCAAGACCTGTCAATACCCACCTTACCTCCAGATAGGTTGTGGTTGTTATGGTAAGATCATCCATGAAACCTCTTATTGGTGGTTATCAGATTCCCGATTCCATTCTTGGTCCTCAGGTCTCTTTCCAAGCAGCTGTTACAAGGAGATTCATTCCCATAATGAAGAGGATGGAGGAGATTGTGCATCCAGTCACGATTCCCTTTTCCAGGTCTTGCCGCTGGGTTGTAAACTGCGCTGTTTTGAACCATAACTGGATGCTTCTGAAATAGCTGGTGATCATTCCCTTGATGGACAGTGGGATATGGTAGTGGTCCAATGCTGCATATATGGGGGCATGAGGGACTGATCTGTATGCATTGGCTAAATCTAACCAGACCACTGTCAGGTCACCTTTGTTTGCTTTAGCCTCTCGGATCATCTGATTGAGGACTCTGGTGTTGCCCCAGATACCAAGAGAATCCTGGGATCCCACCTTTCTGGATAAAGTTGTCAATGTATCCATTCTCTATCATATAGGAGGTTATCATTTTAGTCAACACTGAAAATAATATTTTTTCTTCTACAGACAAAAGTGAAATTGTTCTGAATTGGCTAATGGTTGAGGAATTTTCTTCCTTTGTCACAAAGCAGCCCTCCACTTTCTTCCAGCATGTTGGAATGTTGCCCTTCTTCCAAACTCTATTGAGCAGTTTCCACAGCCTCTGAAGGAACAGCGCCCACTTCTTGAATGCCTTGTATGGTATATCGGTTGTGTTGAGCTTTTTCCTGGATGTATCAAATGTAAGGATGTTTGGGTTGGCACCCAGATGTTGATTTTTAAATGTGTCACAATGGAAACTGCTCTACATCTCTAGGGCTAGTCAGGCTCCTGGATTTTGCTTCACCCAAAAGAGATCTGGTGAACCTGAAAGGGTCTTTAAAACTGAGCTTTTTTGTTCTCCCTCTCCTTCCTCTGTTTCTGAGTTCTTTATGCCCTCTGAAACCTGCAGAGAAGTTCCCGGAGTTGATCTGTCAGATCTTTAATGCCTTCCCTTTCATTGACAGGGCCTCTTTTAAACTGTTTATTGAGAGCTTTAATTTCTTTCCTCAAGTGGCGAATTTTCTTTTCTCTTCTGCTTAGCTGCTTTAACATGCACCTGTGCCACTTCTTTCTACACTTGATGTATAGTAAGTCATTTAGTGTTCTTACAATTCTTTCCGCAATGAGAATTTACTTCCAATACCTCTCCAATTAAGGTTTTTTGGGTGAGCCGTTTCTGTGTCCAAAAATCATTCCTGGCCGTTAAAATGAGGTCCGTCCTGTTGACCTTCTCATCCTCCCTCCCTCTAGGGAGACTCTGGGGGCATTGCCCATTACTGGTTTCTGTAGCTTGATTTGTGCCCTCTTGCGAGTGCTGTGCATAAGGTAGCTGGCCTCATACACCTACGTCAATCTTTCTTGGAGATCCTCTGTCTTTCCAGTGTCACCAAACGTCCTCGGTTACCATCCAGACTTCCTGGGAAGTCATTGGTTGCCCAGAAATTCATAAGAATACTTAAATCTGAGAGATGCTTCTCTTACATTCACCTTGCATGTATGTAGCCTTGGCCAGAAGGAGCTGATATCATCAGACAGTGTCCAACACTCCTTGAGCGTTTTGACCCTGAACTGTAACACCCTTGTTGGGTCGGCAGTGATCACAGCCAAATCTCTGCCCATCTTCTCCTGGATTCCAGTTTTGCTTCTCTCTCCTATTCCATACAGTGGCGGCTCGTCGGGGGAGGCAGGGGAGGCACAGCTTCCCCAAAATTTTGAGGTGAAAATGGGAGGAGGACGATTTAATGTTCATTTCAGTTCATGTCTCAGAATGTGTATTTTTTGTTTGTAATTTCACAGCTTTAATACCATAACATGTTACTGAAGTTGGAAAGCGCTGATTTTCAATCGCAAATATGCCGAATCTGCTGATGTAATTACAACCGCTAAATGATAGAGAAGGGGAGGGGGAGGCCGGGGGAGAGCTGAGCTCTCCTGCCTCCGTTGGTAAAAAAATTAGCCAATCACCATTGAGTGTTCACTTTCAGCGCTGAGGAGTGTTGAGAAAAGAAACTTCGCAGGGGAGGCTTGCCTCCCTTCTGGTATATCAACCAATCATCATAGAGACGTAAATGACATGATATTAGTTTTAACGTCTCCCGCTGCGTTGATAAGTTCTTATGATGAGTAGCGATATTGAATATTTGATCGCCAAAAGATTTACCAAACTGTCATTCAAACAGTATATATACAAATTAAAAATAAAGGGAGAACACACCTAAGCTGGATATAGGCTACAGCAGTCGGCTTAATTAAATGGCACAACAGGCAGCTCTCTTTTAACACAGACTTTTAAGAAGGGATGGATGTTTGCTTCAAGTGATAGGCCAGGTAAGTGAAATTATATTATCTTGCTGTATGTGTGTCATTTTCTTTACATTTTCTGACTAAAAGCAACCAAAAAGCCATTTTAAAGTTTTTAAGAAAATAATAATAATAATAATAATCGGCAGGGATCCCCAGACCAATACAATGAGTGTGCCTCCTCTATTTTAAAACCCATGAGCCGCCACTGATTCCATAACCAACTCTTTCCTTTTAACATAACTCTTTCCGATTCCATAGCCAACAAGAGGCTCTTTCTGCTGCCTCCCCCATCCTGTGGATTGCTACCTTTTTCTCCTTTCCTTTTAGTCCAATTGCTGTGAACATTGTCCATACCTACTGGGCCAGGAATCCTCTACAGTCAACCTCTAATGGGAACAGCCATGGCTGCCACCCATTCTCCTGACAGTTTTGCAAAGGATCTTGATATTTTCAAAGTCTTGGTGGCATCCTTCTTCCCATTGGACTGTATGTATGATCAATATGATCTTCTTTGCCTCATCAGACCACAGAACCACATCACGTATGGGTTGTCAG